CTCTGTGTCGATAATATTGTCTTTTTCTATAAGATTTTCCAAAAAAATATTTAATGTAGAAATTCAGCTTAGGTACAATTTTATTATATGTATACTCGTAGAATATATGTATAAGTAAAATATAACGAATAATATTATAGATTTTCGTTTACTAAAACTATTTAGAAGAATAAACCAATTGCGAGTTACATGAGCCTAATGTAGAAACGTAATTACTAGTGTCTGTAAATATTGATTTTGTTATATAACTTCACGATATCATCGTATTTAGAAATTAAAATTATTTATTCATTATTCATACTTATCCAAATTAATATTATGAAGAGGTTAAGTTTGTATGTAGGGTGTAATCTACTGCCCAGCAGTGCATTAATATACACGTAGTGGGTTAACATACATACAGATGATCTAAACTCACAAAAAAGGATGTTAGCTTAGTTAACAGTCTTAAAGTAGCCACGGTAGCCTGAGACGCATATTCTAGATTAAAGGATAATTCAATCTCAAACTCAGTTAATAATAATGTCACAGTAAAGTAACCCTATCTACGTATTTCCTAACTCGATTAACCGCACTTGGCCTAGTTATTTACCAACATCAGTGATGCCTGATACTCGATTAGTGAATATTTCTATATCTATACTATTATTATAAAGAGGTAAAGTTTGTGAATTGTGAGTTTGTGACGTTGAAGGGGGTAAATTTTGCATCTACTAAACCGATTTAGATGAAATTTGGAAAGAAAATAGTTTGAGACCCGGAAAAGGACATAGGATACTTTTTATACCGGAAATCATCCCTTAAGGGGGCGAAAATGGGCATGAAAGTTTGTATGGGAAATCAATTTATTGATTAATTAATTTCATATATTTATTGTACTTTTAACTTATTATTAATGTACATACATATATCTGAAGAGTTTGTTTGTCTTTTTGAATGTGCTAATGTGTGGAACTAACAAAAATACAAGAAAAAATTCAAATGAGACGATTTGATTTTCGTTTTGTTTTTAAAAGCCTATTTATTGAAAGATACAATTTAACAAATCTTTACAGCTCTACGACGTCGTGAACTTGTAATAAATATTTTAAAACCACAATTTTACAATGATAGAACAAAGAATTTACTGAAATTAAAATTTTAAATATAGTATTATAAATAAACTTTAACAAGCTCTTTCAGATGGTCATTTAAAGTTTTTAACTAAAAGTCAGTGTTGTCAGTCCTCTGGTTTATAACTTTAGTTTTACTGAGGAGTGCGACAAACTTTACAGATTACTCCTTTAAAAGTTTATGGAAAGTACATTTATATTTAATAATAAGCTACTTAGTCCCTATGACAGGATCCTGGTTTTACTTTGTTTTTTTTTTAATTTGATTAAATTAACATTAACACGTTTAAGTTAAAATCAACACCATGATTTTTCTATAAAACCGTACCTATAAAAAACGTACCTAGGGCGTATCCGAGTGAAGCGAGATTCGCTAGCACATATGATGATGTTCTCCTGACCGATTCCGGCCACAGCGGCCAATCTCATTGAGACTAGCCAACTGCGCTAGAGATATTGTAGTGCACAAGTGTTCTCTGTTCCTGTCACTCTGGTGGGACGACCACTCGACACGACCAGTGAGAGTTAAGGCGCAGGACCAACGGCTTTACGTGCTCTCCGAGGCACGGGGGTGAAACACCGCCAACTTCCCAACTCCAGGTTGTTACTGAGGCTTACTATACAGAAAGACTCAATAACTAAACTTGGCCCGACCCGGGACTCGAACCCAGGACCTCTGGGTGTGCAGCCGTACATGCTAGCCACTACACCACCGAGACAGTTATAAAAATATATTAAAAATCATTAAAAATGTGATGTGCATTGTTAATTATTAGTTTAAATATTATGCAAGTCAGCTTGTTGTTTTGAACGCAGCTGGAAACGAAATCGAGAGGCCACTCACTTTGCATTGTAAATGCGGAAAGGGAGAAATGACTCAATAATTAATTAATTATCTTTGTAATTAATTTTTTTATACCTAAACTTTCACTTATTTATTGTATAATTATATAATCGATTAACTTTATAACTATACAAGTGACTCACCCTTGCTCTACTCGGGTTCGTTCCTAGTTACGTTTTAATATTTATAGAGATATTTTATTAGAGATATTTTCCCGTAGTATAAAGTATCCGATATATTGACCCGGATAACCAGCTATAATCAGACCAAAATTCATCAAATTCTGTCTAGTAGTTTTCTCGTAATACGTTCCCAGACAGACAGACAGATAAAAATTCTAAGCACTATAGATTCGGCCTCTGTATCGATATTAATGAGATTTTCCCAAAATATTTAAGTACAGATTTGACTTAGAACTTAATTTAATACTTTCTTAGATTTACGCGAATATTTGCCACTTTAAATAAAACTATCTTGTTGGATTTTTTCGCGGATTTATTTCTTCATTAAAGAAAAACAAACATAATATTAACTTTAATATGCATTTATTATTACGAAGTAGAAATATTCTCTCCTGTGACCATCAATGCTGTAAAGCATTGGAAACGTAGGGAACCAAAAATCTAAATAAATCCGAAAAGATAGTTTTTCACCTGCTGTGCTAATCTGAAGATTGCCTGAAAATTTTATCAACATCGCTTCAGACGTTTTGGAGTCCACAAGGAATATATATATATATATATATATATATATATATATATATATATATATATATACATCGATTTTTATATATATAGATGTCAAATATTCGCGTAATTTTAGGCCTAGTCCGTTACTGGATGAAAAGTATTTATTACCTATAAATTAATATAATATGGTAGATGCCTAAAATACGGTTGGGTTTTTAATACTCATAATTCTAATGTTATACACAGTGCTAGAAGATTAAGGTGCAAATATCTTTACTCTACGTATAATGCTACTTGCATCTCATAGAGCTGACTTCCTGAGGAAGTTTGGATGTAGAGACGAAACGTGCGTCGAGTGTGCTTATGTACGTTACAGTAAAACCACGAATTTTGACAGATTTTAAAAGGTTCCTAGGAAATATTAAGTGCTTTTATAAATTTTCTACTGAAATCGTTTACAGCACTCAGTAATTCCAAAGTTTTTTAAGCATATTGGGTGGTTAGTTATTTTTATAGTATCTTTAAATAACAGACATGACAAATTTTGGGTTTACTGGAAATTTTTAGGAATGTACGATTGTTCCAGCTATGAAGGCTATATATACAGACTCTATGATCCCGCTCTACAGTTTCGTGCTTTACGATTTCATTGCAACAACTGCATTTTATTTGAGAATTTCGGTTTTAACACTATAATATTATGATTCATGTTTAATTTACAAACTTTACAAAATTACTTATACTAGTTATAACAAATGGTGAAACACTGTAAATTTTAATATAATTCATTGCATTGTTACTTCAAGGGCATTAGACAAACAGACACTAAAATTCATAAAAATATGTATTAAAAATATTTTTACTTTCAATAAGACACACAAAGTTATTTCGATACTATTTTTAAGTACATATATTTTGGAGATATTGTCAATGAAAACTGCAATAAAAATATTGTAAAATATTTATAGTGATGAAATTTATAATAAGCAAAGTTTACTTTAGGGTGAAATGAAAAATATTCCATAGCTCTTCAACATTGTACGTATATGTATATTGTACTGTGTGACTTATGTATGTAAATATAATATTTTGTATCATAATCATTGTTCGAATAATAGATAGCACTCTCGTGACTATGCTTGCTGTAAAGCATTCGAAACGTCGGGATCCAAAAACCAAAATAAATCCACAATAAATCCGAAAAGATAGTTTTACAAAATGTCAAATATTCGCGTAAATCTAAGAAAATATTATGAATATTACTATTTTCCTTCGTCAACTCGTTCTCATCTTTTTAGTTCGCTCTTTACGCAGTCGGTTTTCATTTTATTTTTGTGAATTTACTTTTAAGAAATTTGATGTTTGTAATATGACCCAATGGCGTGAGCCAAGTGCTAAATCATTTTTAGGTAGCTTGTTGTACTGTTTCATCATTATCTAAAGAAAGTTTCAAAATTTTCTTACTGTTCTGTAGGTGTTTAAAATAGCGGCTTTTTCAGGAGTAGTAAACAGGTAAAAAGCAAAGAGAGAATGTTAAATGAATTAAGTTAATGTTTCGGAACAACGTCTGACACTATAATGGATCTAGATACTATTGGAACATTAGTCATTAATATTATTATGTTATTTTATACACCTAGACCGGCTTACCTCAGCTTTTACCGTCCAAAATCTACATATAAATGTTTATTCATAAGCGTCCACATTCATTAAATAATATATTTACGGAAAGAAAAATCGACACTTAAATATACTTAACTTTAGACTTCTAATAATATATCTGAATCATTAAAATGAAATTTATTTTTAACTTTCCAAACAATTTAGTTGGTAAAATAACCCGGTAATATCTGTTGATTCACGCGAATACTTTCTAATGTCGCTTAACTGAGTTCTGAGTCATTTTCGCATCATATTTTATAATTAATGCATAATATTATTTGCCAGAATAATAAACTAATGAACATATTATATATTTTTTTTTTCACAAGAAATTATTAGTTAATTTTTAAATAAAACTATCTTTTAGGATTTTTTTGCGGATTTATTTTGATTTTTGGTTCCTGACGTTTCAAATGCTTTACTGCAATCATGGTCACGGGAAGGTCTGATGATTGCTGTAAAGCATTCGAAACGTCGAGAACCAAAAATCAAAATAAATCAGCGAAAAAATCCGTAACGATAGTTTTATTTAAAATGTCAAATAATCGCGTAAATCTAAGAAAGTATTCATTAGTTTATCTCCCATGCTGAACTAATGTCAGAATTACGGTACAGATTTTCACATCGTTTCCACTAAATACAAATAGGAATCATCTCGGATGGTTAAAGCCTGAAAAATTCATATAATCTTACCTTTCAACAGCAAAACGAAGTTTTTCTTGTCATCTCCACCCTTGGGATACTCCCAATCCACGTCCAAACCGTCGAAATTACGATCCCTCAGGTAGGGGATGGCTGAGTAGATAAAGGTCTGCCTGGAGTATCTCGTTGCGGACATTTCTTTGAACTTTTGGGTTCCAAATGACCAGCCACCTGATAACAAAATATATTATTAAATAACATAAAATGATTATGTAGTATAACAAAATATTATCTACTAGAAAAACAAAAACAAATCTAACCCACGGGAACCATACTTTTACCCGGGATAAAAAGTAACCTATGTGCTATTCTGATGTATGATCAATAATATTGCAAAGTTTCATCAAAATCCATTCAGTAGTTTTTGCGTGAAAGAGTAACAAACATACATCCATACATACATCCTTATAAACTTTCGCGTTCATAATATTAGTAGAATATGCAATTTAGTTAATAATTATTATGAAATAGTAAATGTAGTAAGATGTTTTTTATAGAAGAGACTCATAACCTATTTTGTTCTGAAAATGGGTAATTTTCACAAAATTAGTGCTATAATACTTATTAAGCAAGATTTACTTTAAAAAAAATGATAAAAATTACAGATTATAAAATTTTAAGTCTTCGAGCTAAAGTTTCTTTAGAAGCAATGGTAATGTTAATATTTAATTATGCCAGTATTTAACGAGCGCTTTAACTTTATCGTACTTAGTTATTAGCTTAAGGAATAAAATTTTCGTTTACTTTTTTGTATAAATTAAATAAATTTTAAATAAATATGCAGATAAATTCCTTGTTTTTATAAATTTTAATGCTATATGGAAAACTTTTATTACCAACATGCTATTGATTGTACGTTATAATATATAGTATATGTTTTGTATTTGTACATAACCAATAATATATACGATACATACCTCAGGTATTAAGGTACGATATTATCTAGATAAAAAAAGCTCTAAATATCATCCTCATCATACTCTTCAAAGGGACTTGAGCGTTTGAAATGACAATAAACTCTTTTTTTAATTATTATCAACATGAACAACATATGAGCAACAAAAAATGTGTTATTGAAAATAATCACATTGTTCTCGAGAAATATGATAGATGGATAAACTGACATATTTTTTATATATACATACATATGTATAGAAGGAAGTCATAGGTATTTGCATAGTTACTAGATAAGTGGAGCATACGTAAATTCATTCTACATCACACGTTTAGGATAATTAAAACACTATTGTTGAAGCCTAATAGTGACGTGCAAAAACTAGAACGATATGTTGATTACATAGAAGCTTTTGTTGCGCCCCTGTGGTTTTTGCCGGTCCGAGAAAATAGGTGAAAATATCGTGCACTTTATGCCGTGAGAGCGGAGTTATGTTCACATGAGCTAGTGATGGGATGGTTGATTATGACGTTCTCATTTTTTATCGATATATTGTGAAATATTATGCGTTGTCTTTTATTTATTTTTTTAATTTATCATGAAAATATAAAATATTGTATATCTATTATCTATATGTCTCTGAAAAAGGTTTTAGTTTCATTAACTAACTAAAAAAATATATATTTTTACATTTTACATAATATGTGTAACTTTATATTTTCATCCAAATAGGTCTAGCAGTTTTAATATAGAAGTAACACACATACAAAAACATACAAACTTTCGAATTTTTAATATATACTCATAATAGTCCTATAAAATATTATATTACGGATGTATAAAGGGATAGAATTATAACGTCCTTGTAATACCAGACATTGACGAAGGAAGTGTCACGGACTGTGCATTAGAAAGCGTTTGTAATTTTATATAAGCCCTGTCACATGTTAACGACATGTTGTGCAACGCCTTTGTCGAAGTGTACTTATCATATCAAAGTGTTTTGTATAATATTTCCCATGCGGTTACTGTTACTAACAATATAAATATATCCATAATAATATTATAAATGCGAAACTCTGTCTGTCTGTTACATTTTCTCGTTCAATCTGCTGAACCAATTTAAATGAAGTATAGAGATAGCTTGAGACCCTGGGAACCAAATTTTTATCCTGGAAAACATTCCTTAAGGGGGTGAAAAGAGAAAGCGGAAGTTTGTATGGAGAATCAATCATTTCTCAAGTAAGAGGTACAAAACTCATCATAACTATATATATATATATATATATATATATATATATATATATATATATATATATATATATATATATATATAGTCTATCTATTTAATGTGTTCCATGGACAAGAAGAACTCTCAATGGTATCTATTATAGCTTATACTTAAAGTTGATAATTTAAAGACGGATTTAAAATGTTCATCACGGAAATAAACATTTCTCCTCCAGGTTTTTTTTAAATTAATAGAAATTAATTGTGTAGTTGACGAAACATTTAGTTAGAAAGTCTTTGTAAGCGATATTTAATTCAATGCAATCTTTATTTGGTCGACAATCTACTGAACTTACTGAACTTACGTATTTATAGTAAAGAGCGAAAGCTCTATCTATAGATCTATACAGCTAATTGAAATAAAATTTACACAATTTTATTATAAATATATTTTAGTGTATCCTGTATTTAATTTTATATGCAGATGCATAGTTTTATTTAGTTATTTTTGTTTAAACAAAAAAAAATCATACCATACATACAATGTGCTTACATATAAATCAAACTCTGCTCTACTATATTTATCAATAAATTGTATAAATAAAGTTGCTCATCGTATGTCTGTTTGCGTCGCTTTATTCTTATAAACTAACAACAGATTGTGATACGACTTTCATTAACATTTAGAGATTTTTAAAGATAAGATTTTTTTCTATATTAGTAATTTATTAAAACTAAAGAAAAGTTAAGATTTTATAATGAAATTAGCAAAGAAAATGAGAGTGGGTCGCAATATTATAGATGCAAAAGGCCTGAGTCTGAGTAAAGCGGGGGTGAGTCACTAGTTTACTATAACAATGTTAGTTTTACATAATTTCCTTACAAAAACGTATTAAAAAGCAAAAGTAAAATCACCGTCATATGAACACATAATAAACCGGAAAAGGAAACCTTCGTCTTAGAAAATAATGCAATTAATTAAGCGTTTGCTTCATTTTGATAGATAGTATAAATTATTACGAACTGACACGTAATATTTATCTACAGTTAATTTTTGTAATATATGATTTTATGCAAGATCCGCATTTTTGTAGCTACTTTATACATATTTATTTTAAATACTGTTTAAATCGTGATTTTATTCGTTTTTTTTTTTGATAAAGTGTCCAATATTACTTAGAGATCAACCTATACATATAATAAAATTGTAATTAAGCCGAATCTGTACATTAAATATTTTTTGGAAAATCTAATTGAAATAGACATTATTATCGATACAGAGTCCGAATCTATAGTTTTTAGAATTTTTGTGTCTATCTATCTGTCTGTTACCACATGTTACCACATGTGATAGCTGGTTATCCGGGTCAACATATAGGATACTTTTTGCCGCGGAAAAATATCTCATTTCTGTGAAAAAATACAAAAACTGCATTGTAAGAATATACTAATATGAAAAACCTAAGAGTTTGATTTTTGGGTATCTGAACGCGGGCGGAGCCGCGGGCAATGCTAGTCTAGAATAATAGTAAATGTTAATTTTAATGTAATTATATATATGTGGATTACATTGCTACTACTGGATTTCAATGGAGAAGATAAATAAAAGATGCAACACTCGATATGCCAACTATCATAGAGAGCGATATTATCACAGATAATAATTAAAATATTCTGATTGTGTGCCACAGTCTTTATAATTAGTAATCTAAACCTATATTATACTAATATATATATATATATATATATATATATATATATATATATATATATATATATATATATATATTATTGATACTTGTTATGTAAGTTAGAAATACACTTAATACAAAAGTTTATTAAAAAATATTTTTATTTTATATGTAAAGCCTTTTTTTATTTATATATAACAAATATATCCTATTATAACAAGCATAATGTAATATTAAATAAAATTTAATATACTATAGAAAAAAGTAAAACAATTGACATTTGGATGGCATGTAGATGGAAAATATAAATAATAATTTAGACGGATTCATAAATCTGAAGAAATATTTACACGATCACATGAAAATATTTTAGTAAATTGTTTTAAATGGAATCAAATAAAATCATACGTTAAGTCACTAGGCGTTAGAATTTGTAGGCAATACAATATTACAACTTCGATTAGGGACAAATGTTACCGAACTGCCCTATTTAAGTCATATTACGTGACTAAAATATCAAGCACTTGTATAAAATGAAACAACAGTGTTTATATTTCGAAACTTTTCTAAATTAGCTGCTGTACGATCTTCTATACATACAATAAAATTGTAACTAACCCGAATCTGAACATTAAATATTTTTTGGAAAATCTTATTGAAATAGTCATTATTATCGATATAGAGGCCGAATGTATAGTTTTTAGAATTTTTTTCTGTCTGTCTGTCACGGAAAAACTACTGGATGGATTTTCATGAAATTTGGTACGGTGATAACTGGTTATCCGGATCAACATATAGGATACTTTTAACCGCAGGAAAATATCTCATTTCTGAGAAAAAATACAAAAAGGGAATTGTAAGAGTATACTAATATAAAACTAAATATACTAGTATAAAACCTAAGAATTTGGTTTTTGGTCACCTGGACGCGGGTGGAGCAATGCTAGTTTATATATAAAACAGCGTTGTTGTTTTATATAAAACTTTTATTTTTCTTTTATATGAATAATGAGCCACATATGATTGTCATACTTTTTGTAGCGACTTCTGGATTGCTATACTAGCACCTCAATATTTTCTGATACTCTTTTAAGAGCTTAAAAATTAATAAATAAAAAAATTCAATTGCTATAAGATAGATTACATTAGTTTTGAAAGTATAAATAATATCTTTCTTAAGAAAATTTAGCAAGTATCGTAATATGTTTTACACAAACTTATGCATGGGTGGAACTCAAATTGTGAGGAGAGATATGTTCATTGACCAGTCAGGCCAAAAACCATAGTCTATAGTTCAAAAAATGTAAATGCCACTAATAAAAGTTATTGATTTTACCACCAGTTCTGAAGGCCGTAACAATCTACGTATATAAGGATTAAAAATTGAAATAGATTTGAATAATTCTGCGCAATTCTAACGCGAACATACGTCAATAAAAAATAGTGTTTATAGTGTTTTTTAATGATAAAAGAATATGTTCAGTAAAATTCAAATAACATCCTGTATATATGTTAGGAAAACAAATTTAGCGCGATATAATTATATAAGACAAGTTTTTACTCTCGGTTGTAATCACGTGACAGGCACGTGGATAATATCTATGACATATGCTATTTATAGCGGGTAGTGTAAAAAGCTTATTTACTTACTCACAGAATTTCAAATCTACAATATCGTAATTTCAAAGAAAAGTCGATAAAATTATAAATGAATATATGCATGTAATATTTTATCGATATATATGTTTGGACATCACTAGCATTGGTTACAGAACCTCGTTTGTGGCTAACGTACTACATCTATTATGTGTTAAGTAACCTTAAGGAAATCGATTGTGAAAACGGTATCGTAAATCGCATTCTGTGTACATTTCATTATTACATTGTGGTATTTATTTTTTCTTAATTTAATAGAAACCAAATTAATATCTACCAATTATCTTTATAAATACATTTAAAACGTCTGCCTGTTATTTCAAAACAGCTCTCTATAATGAGTCCATATAGTTTTTGCACAATAAAGCTATTAAAGTGAGTATTTAGCAATAATAGATATCTACAAAACCTATATAGTAAGATTTAATAAAAGATATGGTCTGTCATTTAGTTTAAATGTTTTCTATTTCGTTTATAATTGCTAAATATGATTTCTACTTTCTATAATACGATATAGAATAGAAATTTGATTAGTCTTTGCTCTTTATGACATAATAAAATTAAGCTATACAATTGAAATAAACAAGTCCAATTATATTTTACCTAGGTTGTCAATTGGACTAATTATAATTTTTATTATATATATAACAGCAAAAAATAATTTGCGATTATACATACAATGTTAAATATACGTTTAATATGTATGTACGTATTCAGCCCTATTTAACATCCTACTGCTGGACATGGACCTCCTTTCAATACGAGGGGGATCAGGCCATAGTCCACCACGCTGGCCAAGTGCGGGTTGGCGGACTTCACATGTCTTTTGAAAACTGGCTAGGTTCTTTCAGACATGCAGATTTCCTCACGATGTTTTCCTTTACCATTAAGACAAGTGGTAATCGCGTTGGAAATGAGTCGCACATGAGTATATCAGAGGTGTGACACCCGGGATTTGAACTCACTTCATTCGGTTTCAGTAGCGAGCGCGTTACCACTGAGCTACCACTACGTCACGTTTAATAACATTATTATTTTTACTTACCAATAGCTAATAAGGTCTTCAGTTTAGGGTTGGCCTTCTTCAACACATTGATTCTATCGTATAATCCAGTTTTTCCATCCTTAGTTTCATCGTTTGATTCGAAAGAGCTGAGTTTTCCTTTTTTCATCCACCCAAAAGCAAAAATGATGTGGGTGCATAGATCAGGCTGGATATCTTCTGGCATGAATTTACCGATTTTAGTACGGTATTGGGACCAATTTGTATAGTAGCAGACGATCTGGGAAATAAAAATTAGGTTTAGTGAGACAATTACACAACTAGTGTTCACTGAGAGGTTGAATTTAAAGCATATTTTTTTTTGATCACACTTTTTTTTAATAAGCTCGTAAATAGCTATTAAACAAAAAAAAAAAGAAAATTGGTTGACAAAGAGAAGAGAAAGTACCGGATTGTTTTGTGTTTGCTTATTTATATCTCAGACTAAGGAATAATATAGACAGACTAACGTCTCACCCTCCCTCCACTCGGGTTCGTCCCTAGTTACGTTTTAACGTTTATATTAGTATAGATTTCTCAGAGATGAGATATTTTTCCATAGTAAAATGTATCTTATATGTTGACCCGGATAACCAGCTATCATTATACCAAATTTCATCAAAAACTGTCCAGTAGTTTCTTTGTAATGCTTTCCCAGATAGACAGACACAAAAATTCTAAAAACTTTAGGTTCGGCCTCTGTATCGATAATAATGACATTTCAATAAGATTTTCCAAAAAAATATTTAATGTGCAGATTTGACTCAGTTAGAATTTTATTATATGTATAGAAAAATTCAATCTTCACGAAAATAAAAATACTTTCATATAATTAAATATAAGGATTATTATTAACTTACGTTAGACGCTCATACTATTTTCTAAACTCTCTTTATATTTCCATATTATTCAAATTAAAAGTAATTCACGTTTTGAATAGATAAATGCTAATTAGTTGATGTATGGGATGAAAGCAGGTTTTAAAATGAGCTGGATTTAAATTCGTTATTATTCTATTACTAGCATTGCCCGCGGCTCCGCCCGGGTTCAGGTGACCAAAAACCAAATTCTTAGGTTTTACATATTAGTATACTCTAACATTGCAGTTTTTGTATATTTTTCTCAGAAATGAGATATTTTTCCGCGGTAAAAAGTATCCTATATGTTGACCCGGATAATCAATCAGATATGACCATATCAAATTTCATCAAAATCCGTCCGGTAGTTTTTCTGTGATGTGGTAACAGGCAGAAATTCTAAAAACTATAGATTCGGCCTCTGCATCGATAATAATGTCTACTTAAATAAGATTTTCCAAAAAATATTTAATGTACAGATTTGACTTAGAATTTTATTATTTGTATAGATTACTGCTATTTATATCTTTCAAGACTGTAGTGTTCACAATCCCTCATTTAGTCCTCTTTAGACGCATGTTTTATGCATTTAGTTAAATATTAGCGGGGTGGTTCTTTAAATTCATATAACTTTTATCTTTATGAACCGATTGAAATAAAACAAATATTAAATTTTAAATGAAGCTTACTATAATACATTAGTGGAAACCGCACCCAAATCGGTTAAGCCGTTTCTGAGATTAGCGCGCACAAACGCAAAGACAAACACATTTAAAAAAATATCATTGTGTTGGGTTCTACTGCGTTAATAAAGACTTCCAATAATATTTTTTCTCAAATATCTATTCATGTACCGACAGCGATTACTCACACTTTTGTTATATATAGAAATGTATGTATGTTTATATATCTAGCTAAATACCTGTAGTACGTGTATGCAATTATGAAAATGTATGTGTGTAATGAACTGTACTCTTTGTACATTTTAGTGAATATTATTATAACAGCTATCATTATCATATAAATTGTATAATAATTTATAAAAAAAAATAGTCAAGCAAGTCCAAGAACACTTCGGATACAGAATTAAATCAAGAACATATGTAAAATAGAATCTTATGTCCTTACATTTATGCTATTGACCTAGCTTCAACCGCAAGGAAACATAACTCCACCTAGTAGTATGCCTTTGTAACACTCGTTTCGTACATATTTTGAAGGCTAACTACTTTGCGATCGAAAAGTTGACATCCGCGTTTTAACACGACCAATTTATCTTGAACTCTAGGGCCATTATATGTTAAGCTATTATACTCTTAATATAATATAATAAGGTCTGGTTTTGCTTGGCATTGTATATTGTCAAATATTAAAGGTTTTTAGTTTAGCACTACCATTTCCTGATTTGGGCAAGGGAAATACCTTTCTAAATGCATATTTTATTATAACGAATGTTTGTAATAAAAATGAACATTAACATTAATGTATGAATAACAAGTTTTAATGATGAAATACATAAGTAATTAAATCGATTTTGATAAAGAAGGTCTATGGATAGACAAGACGACAGAGATTAGATAGATTTAAATGACACGTTTGGCCCAGTTTGTAGTGACCCTACTTGCTATGCCAGCGGTCGCGGGTTCGCGTCCCGCTGGGAGCATTCATTTGTGTGATGAGCACAAATATTTGTACTCCAGTCATGGGTGTTTATATTATGTATCTTGTACTGTCTAGTATCCATAACACAAAGCTCTCGCAACTTACCATGGAACTAGATGATGTAGTATGCTAATGTCTGGACAAAAAAAATACATACGTAGCTCTTCATATGCCTAAAATTGTTCTAAAGAATAATTGAATACACGACCTTAACTTGCGTTATTATAAACGCTTTTCACAGTGCCAGATGGTCATTCCCTAATATAGATTATCAAAGAAAAAGGGATCTATATACATATAATTAATCTGAAGTCGATATCATTCAGTTACATCCGTCGACCTTGCTATATATATACATGGTGTTGCAATAATCTATACCAATTAGCATTACGGCGGAAATACTTTCATAAATATAAATAAGAGATCAAATTCTTCTTTACAAAATCATTAATAACCATATCGATTGTAATTATCTTTTGTCTAATATTTTCTTTAAATGCCCTCGAACTAACAGCCAATCCAGAGATACCTTATCTGTTCCCTGTCATAGAACCAAATATGCCAAGAATTGTTTCCTGACTAGAGTCTTTAACATTTATAATATTTACTACAAGCATCTTGACATATTTGGATATAATTTAAAGAAATTTATAGCTGAACTTAAAAAAAAAACATTACTTTGTAGCTACAAATTTTATTTGTATCTGTTTTAATTTTATTGTTAGTAAGTTTACTCTGCTATATTTGTGTATAAGTGGAAACTTTATTGGCCAAGTGTATTATTTCTTATGTATTTTGCATTTTATGCTTATATATGTATCGTTATAGATATATATATATATATATATATATTATCTCTCTCTATCTCTATTTAAGATTAAGCATACGACTTCTCTTTCATATTAATTTAACAAAAATAGCCTATATAATATGTTGCCTATACGTACTTACTTAGTTTAGTTGTGTAGTCCGTATTTTATTATTTTATTAATATAAGGTGAAAGTTCGTGAGTATGTATGGATATTTGTTCCTTTCTCAAGTCAGAACGATCAAACAGATCTGGATGAAATTTGGCACAGAGATAGAATACATTTTGGAATAGCACATAAGCTACATTTTATCCCGGAAAAATGTACGGTTCCCGTGGGATAGGTTTGTTTTAGTTTTCCTAGAGGCGAACCCGAGTGAAGCGAGGGTGAGCCGCTAGTTTTATATATTTTCTTCAAGAGACTTACAAAACTTTTTTTGTACTAAAATTTAACAATAATATTTCTAATAAAAAGATTTTAATTATAAGATAATATTATTCAAAGTACCTCGACCATAAAAACATATTAAAGTCGTATCAGAAAAATCACGAAGTTAAAGACATTCAATTTTATTTATTACCTTACGGAACTTTCTACTGCCATGAATTTTATATATATTTTGCCAAACTGCTTAAGAATTCATTCGTAGACTGAAGTTTCTTTACAGAGAGATGAAGTGTAACGATGTTATTTTTACTAGTGTTTTCCCGTGGCTCCGCACAAGTAGTTTAATTATAAATCTTTTGAAAATTATAATTTATCTGTTACTCTTAAGTGTAAGCTTTATTACTGTAAAGCTTCATCACAATCCGTTCAATAATTTTGTATGAAAGAGTAACAAACATCCATCCATTCATTCTCAAAAACTTTCACATTTATAATATTAGTATAGATACTTTTATTTGTCTAAAAAAAACTTAGTAATTTTCAAATGTTCTTACTTTATAGCCATCTTTGTTCTTATGATCATCAGTTCCAACGGAATTGTCAATTGCCGCAGAAGACTTCCTGCTTGCAATGGTAGGGCGACCACGAATCTTTGGCCTATTCACGCTAGCGGATATGACCTGGTCTGTAGTTCTTGCTACGCTGGTTGAAGATGAGGTGGAAACTTTACTGGGCTTCCGTATTCTTCTTCTTACACCTGAAAAGTAGAATAAAATGTAACAAATCCATCTTTTCATGACTTATAATGTAATATTAAATAGTGCACTATATTTTATTTTTGATATTTGCATCGATTAAAGCCGACGATTCATCCAGGATAAGCTATCTTCATTTCTTTGACTCAATAATACTTTCTTAGATTTACGCGAATATTTGACATTTTAAATAAAACTATCTTTTCGGATTTTGTCGCGGATTTATTTGCATTTTTATTTCCCGACGTTTCGAATGCTTTACAGCAGCCATGGTCACGGGAGAGAGTGACCATGGATGCTGTAAAGCATTCGAAACGTCGGGAAACAAAAATGCAAATAAATCCGCGACAAAATCCGAAAAGATAGTTTTATTCTTTGACTCAAACCTATTACAGCGTGAATAAGTAACTAGCACACGCACAATTCTTTGTATTTATAATGTTAGTGTTCGCCCAGTGGTCGAAATTCAACAATTTCCAAATTCAAACATTTATTATTAAAAATTTAAGGAAACATATATAATAGAATTTACTACATTATATATGCATGTATTATACATTTATAAACAAAATAACGCTTCTTTTTGATAACATTAAAGATTGTCAATAGCTACTAAACAAAAAAAAATAGATTGATAAACAGAAGAGCAAAATATACTAAGCTTTTTTGTCTTTGTCTATTTATATGTATGTAGATTAATCATGTGATTGTAGGTACATATGTATTCAGCCCTTTTTCAAAAGTCCCACTGGTGGGCACGGGCCTCCCTTGCGGATGACATCATAATTAATTCTAATATTAAATACGAATTTATACATATAATAAAATTGTAACTGTGTCGAATCTGTACGTTAAATATTTTTTGGAAAATCTTATTGAAATAGACTTTATTATCGATACAAAGCCTGAATCTTGTTTTTAGAATTTTTATGTGTCTGTCTGTCTGTTACCGCATTGCGGGAAAACCACTGGATAGATTTTGATGGAATTTGGTATAATGATTGCTGGTTATCCGGGTCAACATATAGGATACTTTTTACTGCGGGAAAATATCTCATCTCTGAGAAATAACTTTTAGTATAAAAGTTAATACGTAAGTAAGGACGAACCCGAGCGGAGTGAGGGTGAGTCGCTAGTTTAAAATAAATAATATTCTATCAATTTAATATTTTAAGCGCGATATAAGCCCGTCATAAGGTACAGGTAGCGAGAAATGTATCGGCTCCAAGGTACCATCGCACTTCTTCTCTATCAACAAACAAAAATAAACCTAAGCACTTTACTTTAAAATTCATCTTTCTTTATGTTAATATTTTCAAGAAATACCCACCGTTGTTCCTATGAGGCTTTGAATTCAAAATATAGGAAATTTATTACTTGGAACGGATTGGAAAACAGTAACCTCGAGTCTTTGGTGAAAACAATTTTAAATATTTATTTAATATTCATTCTCTCAAAGAATATTTTCGATACTCCTTCATATTTATATTATGTATGTATTAAAGTTATATATATGTAGTGTATCAACTATCTGGTATCCATAGCACATGCTGTGTGTTTATGTTATATTATTTATTTACTTCACTTCTTCGCTTCACAAAGCACAAACATATCTATCCCACGGGAATCATACATTTTTCCGGGTTAAAAAGTAATCTGTTGTTTGACCAGCAATATAAGGTATCGGCATGCCAAATTTTTCTTAATTAGGTGCATAAGTTGTTGTGTACTAAGCTGTATAAGTTACTATAGTTTTTTAACTATTCCACGGGAACTCTTTAATTTCCCGGGATCAAAAGTATCTAAAATATGGACCGGGGATATAAGGTACCACCATGCAAAATTTCATTTAAACCGGTTCAAAACTACTGAAAAAATCTGGATTTGTTCTATTTACTAAAATCCCCCTGACTCCGTTTTTAGCATTTATTTTGTGAACAGACATTCGACCTTTATAGTTTTATTATATGTATAGATTTACCCTATATTTTAAGGAAAACGTATAAAAAGTTTGCTAGTTAACTTTATTTTCAACTTCATTTTTTCCCCAATATGATTTTAAAGACTACAGTAGCGCATAGTAGATAAAGATATCTATCTCTATTCCATAAACAAACAAAACAAAAAATTATCTATTTAATAGATAGATATTTAAGTCTTTATAATATAATATTTAACGGTTTTAACGACAAAAGGTAGATACTTAATTGACAATGCGAAATGCCCAAGAGGATTCGTTTAAATCTTGTCGGAACAAGGTTTTGCCATTGATTTTATTCATATTCGTATATTATTGAATTATAAATGCTTATCTGCTTAATGTTAGATGACAAAGCTTATTCTGAGATAAAAGTGTATTTTAAATATAAAATATGTACAACAAATCTAACTAACCTGTTGAAATCACTGAGTTTATTTGAGTTGAGGATATTTAGGTTTTAAATTTGATCACTTATAGTCTAGATTAGTCTAGATTTAGTCATCACTAGTCTCATTCTCATCACTAGTACTCTAATGTCTAATAATTATAAACGCTAAATAATACTTTCTTAGATTTACGCGAATATTTGACATTTTAAATAAAACTATCTTATCGGATTATTTCGCGGATTTATTTGGATTTTTAGTTCCCGACGTTTCGAATGCTTTACAGCATCCATGGTCACGGGAGAGACTGAGGTGTTAGATGTCTCGAAGGTATAGTTGTTACAGACAGCCTACCCACAAATAACAAAATCAAAATTGCACCAAATACCTTACAATATGTACTTTATACATTTTTATATAATTTTAATTAGTTTTATAATTGAATATGGAATATTATTTATTTAATTTTTGCTGTTACTATTATAATTATAACAATTTTAAAAATATTAATTAGTAATCTATATTTAGTGTTGCCATTATTATATTTATAACCATAAAGAAAAAATATAAAATATAATATTAATTATTTAAGCCACATAATTGTTCTATGTGTAATTTAAAAAGTTAAAATTAATTCAGAATCATAATTTTAATTTAGTTTGCTATTATTTAAAAAGACAAATTACTAAGCAACACTATTACTATATACTTTTACAATGAAAAATATTAATCTGAAATACTGTCATTTTGATCCACACAGTAAAAACTTACTACATCCTGTCTGTTATGTTTAGATTTATTATTTGATTTTATTATATTAATAACAGGATCCGATGACGATGGTAATACCCAGTCATCTTCCAAATTTCAATAGGGAAGATAGATGGCTGGACAGATTTCGATGGAATTTAGTACACAACTTCTGGAGTAATATATAAGAGTACGGTTAGTATGTAATAAAATTAGCTAAAAAGATGGTGTTACTTGTATATAAAATTATAAATACAAAAAGGCTTCCAATATTGCATCCAAGCAAAGTGAGGGTACGTCCCTAGTTAGATTTTAATTTTTTCTTAAGGTTAAACTTATTATATAAAATACTTACTCGTTGAATCTGAGGTGGGAGCAAGGACGGCGATTATGAGAAGAACGGTGACCGTCCACCACAATAATCTTGGTGGCAACTAGAACAATAAAAATGATACCATTAATTATATGATAATATGATAAATATAATGGGACATTAACACACACCACCATCTAGTTGCATGGTAAGCTACGAGGCCTGTGTTACGGATACTAGATAGTTGATACACTACATATATATAATTTTAAATACATACATATTATAAATATAAACACCCATGACTGGATTACAAACATTCGTGCTTATCACACAAATGAATGCCCCCAGCGGGACTCGAACCCGCAACCGCTGGCACAGCAAGCAGGATTACTACAAACTGAGCCTAACGTGTCGTCAACATTATGTTTATAATAAATCACTATTTTACATTTTATGTCCACACCTTCGACATTTCCAAGCCATATATATTTATTTATCTCTGCTGGTCATTGACCACCAGGTATAGGGTATTTGAACTCTATATTTGGTTATTTTGCATATTTTTTAGGATTTTTCTTATTTAATTAGAAACAAGTTTCTTATTATTATTTTCATATATTTTTACGACACATGATTATTTATTTTTATAATACACTAGCAGAACTCGCGGCTTCCTCGCTCTAAAACTACAAAAACATCTCTAAAAAGGTATCTTCATACAATCTTTCATCCCCTATTTTACCCCCTTATGGGATGAATTTCGAAAAATGCTAAGTCATTAAGAATTTCTTGAACCCAATATAGTTGTACTTAAACCAACACGGGTCTTGAACCCGAGACCTCCAGATCAGCACTTAGCTAGCCAGTTGACCAATAAAGCATTTCAATAAAAAAAGTATTTTATAGCACTATCCAGCCTATAGAAAGAAGAAATAATCAGAATATAATATATATTTTGATTGAAAAATCTATAGGTTTATGCCAATTAAAAATGTATGGATCAAATGAAATATTTTTTAAAATGAAAGCTACAAATGATTTTTCTCTTGTATTTTCAGACAACTTTTGAAGCCTTTTCAAAACCATTTATGCGCTGCTATATAAGCCCTTGGGGCAGAGATCAAATGAATCGAGAATATTTATCTTAATATAACGTTTTCTCAATCAGAATATACTGATTTTTGCTACGATAGTGAATTATTTATGTTATATTTTCTTTTACAGGAATAACTGTATTTATTTTTAAGTGCAATAAGTGAATAGTGATAATAATATGTTAAAAAGAACGTAGTTTTATCTACTTCTCAAGTATATTTGTAAATATGTATGTAATAAATAATAAATATGTTGGGACATTAACAGATAACATCCTCTAGTTCCATGGTAAGCTACGAGGCTTGTGTTATGGATACCAGACAGTGGATACACTATACTTATATAACTCTAAATACATACACATTATAAATATAAACACCCGAGTACATAAATTCGTGCACATCATATAAATGAATGCCCCCAGCGGGACTCGAATCCGCGACCGCTGGCACATCAAGTAGGGTCACTACAAATTGAGCCAAACGTGTTGTCAATATATGTGGCATTTCTTTAAGTTGATGACCAATGCATGTGAAGTAGCTGGTAAAAACTAGTATATAAAGAATAAAAAGCAAATTTGTGTATTTGTATGTATGTGTAGACGGCTGGATGGATTTGAATGAAGTTTATTTCATTCAAACATTTTATTAATATACTTGGAGTAAAATATAGGCTACTGTTAACCATCTTGGGACTTACCCTAACGAAGATATTGTAAATCGCTAGTCTATAGTCTATACCGACATATAATAAAGTTCTAACTAAGTCGAATCTGTTCATTAAATTTTTTGAAAAATCTTATTGAAGTAGTCATTATTATCGATACAGAGGCCGAATCTATAGTTTTTTATAATTTTTGTCTGTGACCGCATCACAAAAAACCACTGGACGGATTTTGAAAAAATTTGGTATGCAGTAAAGTGAGGGTGAGTCGCTAGTATGTTATAAAGTATAAATGTATATTAAGTATGAATAAACACACAATTAAACCATGGACATGATGGTTAAATAAAAACATAGATCCGAATAAAGGAAGCTGTTCTTAACGAGAGGTCACGAAATGCAAATAGCATCTGCTACATAATGATCTAATGTGTCCAGACATCAATTTTGATTTACATAGTACAAGATTAAAAGATGAAATAAAATACATAGATTATTATATTAAAAAATTAACAAACAGAAAAAAATACGTTAGAGGAATTATGTTAGTTAACACGTGTTTTATTGATTTAAATATTATAATTTAACTGTCTACTGCAGTCACATTCTTTACTTTTCCTATACATATAATAAAATTGTAACTAAGCCGAATCTGTACATAAAATATTTTTTGGAAAATCTTATTGAAATAGACATTATTATCGATATAGAGCCGTAGAGTTTTTAGATTTTTTGTCTATCTGTCTGTTACCGCATCACGGAAAAACCACTGGAGGGATTTTGATGAAATTTAGTATAATGGTAGCTTGTTATCCAGGTCAACATATAGGATACTTTTTAGTGCGGGAAAATATCTCATGTTTGAGAAATCTAAACTAAACGTTAAAACGTAAGTAGGTACGGACCCGAGCGGAGCGAGTATGAGTCGCTAGTATAACATTAATGTTAACGTCAATTCAGCTTAAAGCTCGTTATATAAGCTTTAACTATTAAATCTGTGTGTTATTTTGGAGGATATAATATCACCTGGAAGGCGGGGTTTAATACCCCTTTTGCATTATTCATGGGCCTGAAAGTGTGCCTCTACCCGCATTTGATTTACAACCAATATACCTAAACAATATTATCAATAGGCTACAGAATATGCCATTTTCATATATTTTTAAATATTCTATAACTTGCTTTGTTACTTTCGAAAGGGACTGAAAGGAAAGTCACAGTTTATACTAAAAAAAAACTACACGGAATTTAAAATCGACTGATTAGTTATAACGATATCGAGTAATATACAAAGTAACATACAGACAAACTGAGTTTTTTTTGAAGTCGGTCTAAATAGAAAATGATGCAAATAATATTTTTGAAGTATAATAAATGACGATGACCGCTAGCGCAGAACAATATTGTCTTTAAGCTGGGGTGGCGCTTCGAATCTCGCTTAAAACTTTATCTATAATAACTATACATATATTGTTACTCGTTATATTAGTGTAAGTAAAAGTAGACTTCGTTTTTACGGATTTTCATTGCAAGAACGACTCAATAATTATACTCGGCCTAACTCCAGACTCGAACCTCTAACCTCCGGATTTGCAGACGTGCATTCTAGCCAACGAAGCATTCATTTTAAGCCGTAGTGAAATATCTTTCTATGAATATCAATTTCGCTTAAAACCTTTTGCTTGGAAAAAGTAATAAAATACGATAATAAAATTTTAAATAACTTTAAAAATTTAGTTTTATTCATATTACAGCTATAACCGGTATTAGAGATCTATAGAAAAAAATCACTTAGAGTGAGAATTCATTCGGAAGCTGAAGAAAATTGTCAGTTCTAATAAGTTAGCTTTAGAAACGTCATTCTTAATACTTTTTATGGTTTTTCCTTGAAGAAAATGAAATTAGAATGCTTATATACTTCGTTATGTGTCTGAAAATCTACTTTATATTCTTCTTATGTAGTAAATATATATTTAATATTAGTAATCAATTTATCCATATGTGAAAAGACAGAGAGAGATCTGTACAGTGTTATGTATTTTTTATTAGTTTATAAAATAAAAAATGGTTTGAATTTTTTGCTCAAATATTGTTTATTATTATAAAACCACTAGCGGCGCGCTATTGCTTCGCTCGGGATCGTCCCTAAGTACATTTTAACGGTTAGTATAGAATAGATAGACTATATGTTAAATTACTGCCCTGTTCCCTTGGGTAGTAGCATGATGATAATATACAATATATATTGCCTATAGCTTTTCTCCATAAAAGGGCTATCTAATGCAAAAAGATTTTTTCAAATCGGATTAATAGTTCCTGAGATTAGCGCAAACAAACAAACAATCTCGGCCTTTTTATAATATTATAGTATAGATCAAAGTAAGTATAAAAACTAACGGTAAATCAAAATAATATTTTTAACTTTTATCATTGAGTAGCTCCGCATTCTAACGTAGAAAAATAATAATTTTTAATTCACTCGACTCCGCGACTGAAAGTTACTAACTAGATTTAATAAAAAGCCCACGAAATGTTAGTGTAATGCCAATAACGAGAAAACTTTATAAAGCTAAATAGAGCTTCTGTAAAAAAGCTCAAGTAGAACTATTTTTACAGAAAGGTACAAATGTACAATTTTAAAGGTAAACGCGTACTCCTATACAGAAGTTGAAGCCACTCTAGTTGTTTGCTTTGGTACTTGCTTTCGACGTTTACAGGTCTTTGTGGTGCTCTGGTACATGAAATTTTGAACGAAATATTCAGAAGACTTGGAATTTTTCGGAAAATTGCTCGATTTCACATACATATATATGTACGTACGTATATTTGATAGGGTACTTGTAAACGTTGAATCAGTCGAATGCTATAATATTTTCGCAATTAACTATGTATATTCTTTTATACTGTTTTGATTGTAACTACCATGCTTTTTGTAAATGTTTTTAAGGTTAAGGTTTTTCCAAATATCTGATTTTCCATACTAATTATTATTTATCGACGTAATCAAAATAAATACGATCTAATATCGAACCCATAACCTACGATGATCATTTGTTTTTATTCAACCTCTACATAAAATTGTTAAATTAATATTGTTAAATATTACAAAACAAACTATTTATACTTATTGTGGATACAGATTTTATGCTTAAAGTTTTAGCTAATTCCTAATATTCATTCTAATTTCCGACGAATTCCAAAGAGCAACTTGTACTGGTAGTAGCAGCTGTAATCCGAATTCAAATGTACTTTACGCAAAAAAAATATATTCACAATTTATTCCTTATGAATATGAAGATAAGAGAGGCAGAAAGAAGGAGAGAGAGAGGGAGGATAGTGACTGAACTCTACTATTTTTTTGTTATTTAACTTCTTGACTATGCTAATTTATACTGAATTACGTACAAAAATTAACAATAATAAATGAATTTAAATAATAATGTATCGAGATTCGAGATTTTAATCATTAATTTAAATTACAACAGAAAGAGAAGAGAGTTAAAATTACAACATTCTCTCTCTATCTTCTTCGTAAGAGAAGTATGAGATAGTGATTATGATGATTATTAAAGTTCACAAAATATATAATAAATATAATTTATGGTGCTGTCCGTATGTCGTTAAGTTTTATGACAGACTTGTAAACGATTAGCTTGTTTCGCTAAACACTTGCCGGCGGAATGCAAATTTTACTTTTATAGACCAATAAAATTAGGGATTTGTATACAATAACAATAAAGACCATCGTTAAAGGACTTACTTGTTATGTCAATATCGTATTAAAATGTATGAACTAGTTTAAACTGCGGCTCCAAATGCACGTTTATTCCGTTGAGATAAAGTTGAATACCGAATAATGAAGGTAGTGGTAGCTTAGTGGTAACGGATTTGCTTTGGAAATCAAAAGCTGGTTCAAATCCTAGGTCTTGCAATTACATTATATATTTTTTGGAAAATCTTCTCGAAATAGTTATTATTACCGATACAGAGGCCGAATCTATAGTGTTTAGAGTTTTTGTCGGTCTGCTTGTGACCGCATCCGAGAAAACCACTAGGCAAATTTTGATGAAATTTGGTATCACCATAGCTGGATATCCGTGTCAACATATAGGATACATTTTACTGAAAAAAAAAATCTCATCTCTAAGAAATCTATACTAAACGTTAAAACGTAACGGTTTATCATATGTTAATATAACATTGGGTTTTAGCTCACGATACCCAAAGCTAGTTATAATTAATTGCGCGACCTGTTTTCTGTATCTAGAAATAAGGACAAGTCCCGCGGCACTTTTAATTTAAAATCGCCACAATGGGGTGGCGGCCACAAAAAAAAGTAATTAAAGCGAATGCAAAGGTTCATAATTTCTCATAGATTATTAATTTATAATATAAAAATGGTGTGTCCTATATGACATTTTGAATTTTTTATAAGGTTTTTGATTTTTCTTTCACTTAGTTATCATCCATTTCACATAAAATTACAATATAGTATATATTATGCAATATAAGCAGATGGAAACAAAATGACGTCATAGTAGTAGTAGTAGTAGTAGTAGTTGGAAACATACCTATATGTATGTTTTACAATTGCTTTGAGCCTTGCTATATATTATTTTTAACTGACTGCGCTAAATATGAAACAGAATTTTTATTTTAATAATAGTAGTAGGTATTACTTCCAATTTTATGTTCACATATATGTATCACATCTAAATGTTCTTTGTTCTTTGATTTTTCTCAAGATTAAAATCTTCAACCTTTTCATAGTTGCTTAATGAAACACTAAGCGACACTAATAGCCGTCTGATTAGATTTTTTTTACCAAAATAATATTGTTTTCTTTTCTTTCTTTAGTTCTATCTTTTTATTCTAACCGACCAACGGTTTTATTTGAATAGCTTAAATTCCCTTATTATATATATAGGAGTTTTTGGCCAAAAAAAAACACTTAAAAAATTAACAAAAATTTTAATAAATACAAAAAACAACAAAAGTTAAAGCTTTGTATCCGACCGGGATACGAACCCAGACTCTTGTGGTTGTCAAGCTTGCGCCTTGGCCGCTCGACCACGATACTTATGTCCTAGCGTGCGAATTAGCGACCGTATTTTGCGTGGAATGCCGATTGTTTGAGTAAAAACCAGCCAGCTCTCTCTAGTAGAGGCGATAAGACGAGGTTTTATATCTTTTAAGAAATGCACTTTCCCTCAACTATAAAACAAATGGTGTTTGGTCCAATATTACATTCATTTTCACCTTCACTAGTCTTTGAAATTAAATTATGATTATGATATTTTTTTCCATTGATAGCACTATAGCTCGTAAATAGCTTCCAAACAAAAAAAATCGGTTGACAAACAGAGGATAATACGGTACTGCACTCACCGATAAATCCCGCTAGAGATAAATATTAGGCATACTTATCACATCTGATTTCTTTATATATAGTTTTTTTTTTTATTATTTTACTACCGTACATTACAAAAAAATCTTCAAATATCTATCTAACTCAGTATCTCCGATTGAGTAATACATGAAAATGTCAAAAGTGCGTGACTCGGATTTGAACCCACTACACATTTAACCGTTCTTGTAGCCAGTGTGTATCTAGGCTAGGGAGATAGTAAGGTTAAAAATTCAAATATTCGAGTAAATCTAAGAAAGTATTAGGCTAGCATTATTTTAGAACAGCATATTTATAATATGCAAGGTTTTTATACAAAACCGAGTACTTTTTGACATGTTTACGTTTTTAGTTTAACAAGACAATAGTAACAGAAATTCACGAAAATCACAAATTACGCATTGAGGTCAGTGCCACTATGCAATTATTAAGAACGAGGCTTTTAGAATTTAGAGGTCAATAAGTCATTGTATTCTATACAAATAATAAAATTCTAACTGAGTCGGATATGTACATTAAATATTTTTCGGAAAATCCTATTGAAATAGTCATTATTATCGATACAGAGGCAGAATTTATAGTTTTTAGAATTTTTGCATGTCACCGTGGCACGAGAAAACTACTTGACCGATTTTGATGAAATTTGGTATGATGATAG